GGGGGGGGGAAGGGTTAGGCTCCACCAGTTGGTGGTCGAGCAGGAGGTAACAAGCAGGTGGGTCCCGGATCTATTTTAAAACTAAAACCAAGGGGTTTTGTGGGCCCATCTGATGTGCTGCCTCCAGCATTTGGGCCTGAGAACAGGACCCGATCGAGCTGCCTGTGACTGGGAGGGGAAACGCAGGTGTTCAGAGAAGATCCAGAGTTCAGTTTTGGGCTGGTGGGATGTGGCCTCTCTGGTGGACAGCAGCTGTGCGGGTCCAGGTTATAGGTTCTCTGTGCCACATAACAAAGTACCCCAAACTCGGTGGCTTAAAAGACACCCACATTTAGTATGTCACAGTTTCGGAGGGCAGCAGAGTTATGTCCTCGGCTCAGGCTGCTATTGGCGGGGCTGAGGGCTGACTCGGGAGGCTCCAACAGGGAACATCCACTTCCCAGCTCCCTCGGGTTGTGGCAGGATTTATTTCCTTGTGGTTGTAGGACTGGGAGCCCCCTTCCAACTGGCTCCTGGCCAGGTGGCCTCCTAACTTGGCTGCTTAGTTTTTCAAAGCCAGCAAAGGAAAAAGTCTCAGCAATATGCCAGGTGGAGCTGATATTATTTATAGCAGTTATGGTGAGCAGGTGTCCCTACCAAGGGCCCTGGTTCTTCCCTCTCTCCACTCCCTCCATCTCTTCCTGAATCCTCTAGTTCCTTCTTCAATCACTGCCCCCAGATTCACTCATCTCCCTTCTTCTCCTGCAACCCATTTTCTGCACAAGAACCAAATGATCTTTTGGAATCGAAAGTCACCCCCATGTCTATGTTCTGCTTACAAAACATCCCCTTGGCTCTCCCTGTGCCATGAACAAATCCAAACTTCTAACCTTGCCTATGTCTGGCTTTGAGGGCAGGAACTGCACATACTGGGCACCAACTGTGTATCAGCCTCTGTGCGGGGGCGACCAACACCGCCCACAAGACACAGAATGCAAACCCCATGTGCCATCTTGAGTTTCCTAGAAGCCACATCAAAAAACGAAACAAGATAAATTAGTTTTAATAATACATTTTATTTAACTCAACAGAACCAAAATAGTATCATCTCAGTATACAAAAACTGTGGTTGAGACAAGTTACATTCTTTCCTTCACGCTAAGGCTCCAAAATCCAGTGTGCGTCTTGCACTCACAGCACATCTGTTTGGACC